TGGATGAGCAATATTTTTTCACTTATGTATGGTTACCTGACCGTGAAGCGAATAACATATATATGGACTTCACGAGAACAATCGAGTATTATGATTATATCTCGATCCATGAACTCCAATAATATTAGTTTCTTGATTTGGTGGACTACAATAATACGCCTCGAGACGTGATCAACTACTATATGCGGAGGCCTACCACGTGCATTGCCCTGGTAAGTTGTTAAATTTTTGTTTCGAAGTATTTATATACATGCGTCGTAGTAACTATAGAAGCTCCCCTTTCCACTATTTACAAATTAAAATCATCTTTTGACGAATTAATACCCTCTTGATATTTGTTAAAAACTAGTATGTGGCACGGGTAAATAATATTAAATAATAATTATAAATTGATGATATAGGTAAATAATATGTATTCGTTTAGGATTTTGAGTGCCACTTTGAGATTTTTTAAGATTTGAGACTTTTAAGATGGTCAAATTCTAGAGGAATACTATTATATCTTAAGTGTGAATGTGAGATTTAGAGTGAAATTTTGTATGATATTTTTTTCTTTTAATTTATAACTAATCTTAAAAAGACCTAACAAATCTTGATCTCAAATAAGTTAAATATTTAAGGATATTTTAATATTTTTTTTTAATATCAAAGATGAACCGCTTTTGTTACCAAAAAATGTGGACACAATTTTGAATGTACATCCCGTCCAAATATTAGTTTTATTCTAAAATAAAAATTGCACGTGGTTTTATCCAATTTACACACTTTTTTTAAAGAAAAAATTATTCAATAAGAATTAGTTAAGAATTATACAACTATTTGTTTCCAAATTTGTATCCAATTTGTACGGTTTTTAAGTTAATTTTTATTTAGAATTGTTTTTATAAATAATTGACACATTTTTTGCATAAGAATCTCTAAATTTGTTACCAAAAAATATATGATTTAAATTTTGGTAAAAAAAATAAAATATGATATGAAAAAAATGGGATTCAAATTTTTTCATAAGAATCTTCAAATTAGTTACCAAAAAAATAGGATTCAGATTTGTTTACTAAAAATTCACATGTATTTTTTTGAACTTTCCATTAATAGTAAGCCAAACATTATATTTATTTGGTCAAACTTTCTATTAATGTATTTTTCCAACAACCTCTTTATATATATATATATATATATATATATATATAGATTGTTGGTGTATATTGTGTAGATATAGATTAGTCCTGTTAGGAAATAATATATTTCTATCTACAATTAAGGGATTTGATTAGGTTTATTATCCTCCTAGTTGTGTATATAAATACTAGGGCTCTTGAACTCCTTGGAACATATGAAGTGTAAGGATATTTAGTCGATAACATGGTATCAAGAGCCAAAAATTTATTTGTAGTCTAGGGTTTCATTTTTTTCACCAAATAGCCTCGCTTCCGGTTTACCTAGGGTTTCGTGTCGTGGGTGTTTCAGCCTCTCCTTCCGGAGTTTTTTTTGGTATTGGCTTTGGTTTCGTCCATTTTGGTATTTCGGTATTTGCTTCGCTTTGGTGTTTGTTGTCATTCATCTCGCGTCATTTTTTGGCTCATATATTTTATGGCGAGACTAAAGCTGCTTCTGGAATTGTTCATATTTTGAATAAAATTACTGATGTTAAGCTTAATGGCTCCAATTTTCTTGGTTGGAATAAACTGTTACGGTCCATTTGCGAAGCATTGACAAGGACGAACATCTTTATTTGGATCCTCCCACGGATGATACCAAACGGGTCTGGCTCCGGGATGATGCAGAGCTATTGGTCCAGATTTGAAGATTCAAAATTCTATTGAGCTGGAAATCCTCTCATTAGTCTGTCATTGTGAATTTGTTAAGGAATTAATGTCTTACTTGACTTTCTTGTACTCTGGTCGTGGAACATTTTCCACATTTGCTCGGTTTGTAAATCATAGGGGCGAACAAGGATAAATCTCCGATGGCATACGTTATGGAGTTTAACAGAGTTTATATGAAGAACTCAATTCCTTCCTTGCGCAACACAGATGTCAAAGAGATGTCAAAGAGATGCAACGGCAACGGGAACATATTGTTGTCGTCAGCTTTTTGATTCAGGCTATGTCCTGAATTCGATACATTCAAAACTCAAGTTATGTCTGAATCTACCATACCTTCCTTTTTTTTTTTTCTTTTTTTTTTTCCCCCAAAAAGAAGGATCAATAGACACTTTTCCTACTCAGTGACTCGAACCCATGACCTATCGGAAGCGTCTTACCATAAAGTTGCGCTTCGTTGTCAATCTACCATACCTTCTTTACATGAAACATTTGCACGCTTGCTTCGCATGGAGTATTCAGGCACCACTACTAGCTACTCCTCTTGTGAGTCGTGGAGGTAATATTTCATGGAGGATTTCGTGGAGGTTCTCAAGGTGGCTCTCGTAGGGGTTCTCGAGGTGGCGGCTCATGTGGAGGGGTTACAACCATTCACAATAATCGGAATTCATAGAGTGATAGTGTAGAATGCTTTTATTGTCATGAACATGGAGGGGTTACAACAGTTTTTCTCATGTTGCTTCATCTTCCTCTTCTGAGACGGTTACCATATCAACCAAGGAATATGCCCAGCAGTAAGTGAAAATCAACAAAGGGCACAAAATTGGTAATCAACTCTGGTGCGTCCTATCACATGACACATGACAGTTAACCAAAGTCTTTTCCACTTTTCTTCAAGCCCATTTTCAGACCAAAGATTTGGGGCCTTTGAAATATTTTCTAGGTGTAGAAGTCTTGCGGAGCAGGAAAGGAATTTTTCTATCTCTAAGAGACAAGAAAATATGTTCTTGATGAAACAAGGGAAGGTGGGGGATGAAACCCTGCAATGCTCTAACACCTAACACGTATCCAACACCTAACATGTATCCAGAAAATGGAAAATGGGAAATGGGGTAGGAGAACAGTTTCATGATCTTGAGGGATATGGGAGACTTGTTGGAAATTGAACTATATCTATCAAACCTGATATTGCCCTTGCGGTGAGTGTTGCGTGTCGCATTATGTCATCACCGTAAATCATTCTCGAGCAAATTTTATGTTATATAAAGGGTGCTCCAGGGCGTGGATCATATTACGGCGCTCATGGTCACTCGTCACTCTAGAGTAGACCGCTTCACTGATGTGGATTATGCGGGCTGCAAAGATGATAAGATCAACTTCGGGTTATTGCATTTTTGTTGGGGGGGAATTTTGGTTTCTTGGCGAATTAAGAAGCTAAGTGTAGTTTCTAGATCGATTTCTGTAGCAGAATATCGAGCACGGCAGATGCAATTTGTGAGGTTGTATGGGTGCATCAATTGATGAAAGAAATCGACTTTGAATTCTCTATCCTTGCAACGCTTTGGTGTTGCCCTGCATCGCCAATGGAGTTGGTTGGGCCTGGTTTTCCTAGGCCCGCTTCCCTAAATGTGTCAGCCCATGCAGGCTGGCCAGTCAATTATTAAAAATATATATAAAACAAAAAAATCCTCAACTCTCATTTTCGTCTGCCTCCTCTCAACTTTACAAACTGTCCTCCAAACAAAAAATATCCTCCGGCCCTTGCCATGCTCCGCCGTCGCGCACTCAGTGCCCACCCTCCCCCAACCCACCCCCTCAGTTGCGCCGGCCCTTTGCCATTTCGGACGAGTTCATTGCGGCGGGATTTCAGACGTGCCTCAACTGGGTTGCANTTTAATAAAAAATTGGTGGGCCTGGCCCCCTAAACCTGCAGCCGGGGCGGGTTGGGCCTGCATTTTGTAGGCCCGCTAGGATGGCAGGTCAGCCTGCCCTGCCCCACCGGCCCGTTTTGACAGCTCTAGGTCTAGCTTGAGGGAGAGTGTTAGTGTATATTGTGTAGATATAGATCAGTCCTTTTACGAAATAATATATTCTATCTACAATTAAGGGATTTCAATTAAGGGATTTGATTAGGTTTATTATTCTCCTAGTTGTGTATATAAATAGGGCTCTTCTACTCCTTGGAACATATGTAATATAGTGATCTTCATTAGATAACAAAAATACGAGGGTGGAATTGAAAAATTATAAATGAAAGAACAGTAGGGGTGTTCCTTTTTATTTATTTATTTATTCATAAGTGTATTCTTTGATTAGTAACACAAAGATTATCTTCTCCTGTACATGCTAATTTATTGAATCTTGCAGGTTATTTGGAAGCTGATCCTGCGGTTATTAGAATGGTTTCTTTCTCCCATCTTTGTTGTTTTAGCTCCAAATTTTGGCGGCGAATAGACAACATGCATATATAACCTGAGGTAGTGTTGGGATATTGGTGGAAAAACGAATTAAACATTGTTGGTGAGTTTGTTCTTGTACATGTCCAAGCTGATGTGTTTTCGAACTCGGTAATTTTGCACTAACCTTCTCGATGATTTTAGTATGTAGAAGGTAATGTGTTGGCATGATGTAAAGTAATAAATTTGGTCGGGTAGTTTAGGAATGGTGTTTGGTCTTGTCCTTCATCGTTCATTCTCATTACTCTCTAAGAACTTGTGGGTATCTGTTTGATCTTCTGAGGACTTGAAACTTGGAGTTTGAAGGTTGACTATGATATTATTCATGGTGTTGAAGTGAGATTGAGAGTTGTTTTAGTAAGTTATTCTTTCTCCTTTGCACTGAGAAACCTTTACTTCAAGAAATGCAGAATATGAACGTACTCTTATGTTGAACCATTGTGGCTTTTGGCTGGAAATGGTAGCTTGATTTACTTGTTCTGTTTTGTGGAGTTCATTTGGGTAAAATTTCTCACGCACGGATTGTTGATTTCGTTGCTTGGTCGAGTTTATTGCATAGTTCTGTCACTTAGTGCGATTTACTTGGCTCAGTTGGTCTTGGATACTATACCCCAGATAGAGGCTCTCACTAGATTACAGACGAAAAATTAAGTATTGTGGTGGCATCATCAAATAA